CTGCATACATGTGTGTGAATACACAAAGACACATAAATGAAATAAAGCTTTTAAGAATAAAGAATAAATGAATGTTCATTCTGAACACAGTCAAGAGAATGGTCAAAGGAGTTCAGAACTATTTTAGTTTGATCTAGGAAGGAGGCACAATCATTTGTTTGAAGCTATCAAGGTATTGTCTCAAAATTAGCCTCTGTTTGATAAATCTAAACTGCAAATTTCAGAAGTTTATCTTTATCAGCATTTCAATTTGATTAGAATGAATATGTTTTATATACTCTTTACAAAAAATTAATTGAATTTGTCCAAATTTAATGAAATATATATTTATCATATTTAGATCCCCTCCAATATATGTATCCCCTTCCCAACTACACACTGCCCAATTTCATGGGACTCTAATATATGTATTACAAATAAAGACCTATAGAGTCAAATTTGCGTACACAAATGCCCTTCTGTGTGGGTTCATCCCCTACGGCCTGGTCAACCTACCAAGAGTCTCACCCTTAGAAGAAACTGAGTCTCGCCTTACCAGCAGTTATCATTGACAATACCTTCTTCAGGTACAGCTGGTTATTTCTTACCCACGTGTCTATATTGGGATTTTGTCTGACTGATCTTGCATAAGAATTGTGTATGCTGTCACGATTGCAGTGATTTCATATGTGTAACTGACCAGCTGTCTGGAAAACTCTGTTTCCTTGTAGTCATCTACCACCTATGGCTCTTACAATCTTTCTGCCCCCTCTTCCACAATGGTTCCTGAACCTTGGAAAGCAGAAATTTGATATAAACGTCCTATTCTGGGTTAGTCTGCCTCAGATCTTATATCCCATAATATTCATAGCAATACCCCTTTTGGTGAATGATTGTGAAACGTATTTGTTCACACATTTTCATTTTTTCAAAGATTTGTTTAGATTTATTTTATGTGTATGTTTGCCTGCATGTGTGATGTGCACCATTTGTGTGTCTTGTGCCTGTGGAGGCCAGAAGAGGACATCACATCTTCTGGAACTGGAGTTAAAGCTGATTTGGAGGCCTGGGCATTGAGCTAGGTTTCCACGCCCCCCCATTTTCTTTTTATTATGTTTATTCATTTATATGTGTGCATACATGCACATGTTGTGGCATGAGTAGGAAGGTCAGAAGTAAACTTCATGTGTCAGTACTCTGGTTACATCATGTGGGCCCCAGGGATTCTAATCAGGTAACTGGTTCGGCAGCAAGGACCCGTCTCTGCTAAGCCATCTTTTTTAAAAAATTATTATTTTTATGTGTATGTGTGTATTGCCTGCATGAAGGTAAATGCACCCATGTCGTGCAATGTCTGCAGAGGACAGAAGAGGCTGTCAGATCCCCTGGAACTGGAGTTAAGGACAGTTGTTAGCTGCCATGTGGATGCTGGGATTCGAACCCAGGTCTTTGGCAAGAACAGCCAGTGTTCCTAATTGCTGAGCCATCTCTCCAGCCCTTGAGCCACCTTTTAAAAAGTTATTTATTATTTTTATTTTATGTGTATGAGTGTATTGCCTGCACTTGTGTCATGCAATGCCCGTGGAGGTCAGAAGAAGGCATAGGATCCCTGTTACTTGCAGTTGTTAGCCACCGTGTGGGTGCTGGAAATCAAACCCAGGTCCTCTGCAAGAGCAGTCACTGCTCTTAACTTCTGAGCCATCTCTCCAGCCCTCTGCAGAGCCATCTTACGTGCCCCTCATTTCCCTTTCATTCTTTCCATTTTAAACATTTTATTTATTATTTTTATTTTATGTGTTTGAGTGTATTGCCTACATGTATAGAAGTGCACCCATGTTGTACAGTGTCCACAGAAGTCTGAAGAGGGCGTCATATCCCCTGAAACAGGATGGTTCATAGCTGCCATGTGGGTGCTGGGAATTGAACCTGGGTCCTCTGCAAGAACAGTCAGTACTCTTAACTGCTGAGCCACCTCTCCAGCCCCTCATTCTTCCCTTTTACTCTTATGATTTTTTCTGATCAAATTTGTTTGCCATTTTATACATGCATACAATTCATTCTGATTACCCTCAACCCTGTCCTCCCTTTCCTTCCTCTACCTCTTCAACACCCTCTCCTCCTCACAAGTCCATTTCCAAATCACGTTTAGTTTCCTTTTGAGACCTAATGAATTTCAAGAGGACATCTGTGTTGCTTTGGGTTTGAAACTCTCCATTGAAGCCTGGTAGACTCACCAGTAGTTATACAACTGATGGTCATGACTTCCCATTTCTAAGAATTCCAGGTAGCTGATGGATTCAAGATAGGTTTGTCAATGTTTCTAAATTTTCATGAACTAGCTACATAATTATCATATATTCATTTTGTATTTTCTTAAAAATATTTTTTAAATTCCTATTTTTTTAAAAATAATTGGTGACCCCTATAGATAAATAAAGTTGTTCTACTTGGGTTTGAAACACTCCATTGAAGCCTGGTAGACTCACCAGTAGTTATGACTTCCCATTTCTAAGAATTCCAGGTAGCTGATGGATTCAAGATAGGTTTGTCAATGTTTCTAAATTTTCATTAACTAGCTACATAATTATCATATATTCATTTTGTATTTT